TGTAATTTAATCAATTAATATTTATCATATAATATAATGATAGTATAATTAATAACACGTTATATGATGCTATGAATACSAATATAATTCTTATTTTCTTATGCTTTGCTTTATTATTCTCGACTTTCACATCCCCATAATGCCTTGCGTCTTTGGGGGGTAACCAATCAAAAAACTGTACCAAATTGAAAGGTTTCTTAATTGAATTTATACTATATCTGCTTTTATCCGTATTTTTACGTGTACAGATCATGAAGAGTTTTGGTCTTACAAAAAAAGGAATGGACTTACGAAAAAATGTTTAAAATTTACCTCAAACGTCTTCAAGCTTCTATCCAGTTTTCTGTTTTTTACTTTTCTATTTTTGGATACCAAACAAGGTATTTTCAACATTGTCTGATCAGCCTTCAGCAAAATAAGTGGGTTTTTACCCTCTGGTTACCCCCCAAAGATGCAAAGGATTATGGGGATGTGAAAGTCGAGAATGACTTAAATATAAATATAAATTAAGTATAGCAGTCTATTGTAAGTTCACACGTAGAGAGATTCATCATCATCATTATCATCATCATCATCATCTTCATTATYATTTAGATCAAAATTATTACCGCCATTATTATCAACGGAGCTACCGCGTGGGTCCAAGGCCCACGCGAGAGGAGCACCATGCTTATAAAGAAAAATTAGTAATTACGTCAACTATCTGTCCATACGTACGTCCCTTACGTCTCTACGTCCCTTTATAGAATAACACAGCTTTTTGTCCTTGGCTTGCCGAAATACTTATCAAGCAAAGGGCTCTCTGCTTCATGTTCGTCGTCAGATAGGGTCGACTACTTTTCAGGTGTTGATACCTCCTTACAGGGACTTACTGTGAGTGTTTTTGGAAGAGTGCTTTGGCACGTCCTTCAAGAGGTGTAGATTCGAATCRTCGCATCGCTTTCTTTTTCGCCAACGACGGGTGGAACTCCTTCATGTTCTCCTCGAACTGATTCGACTGAAGCTAAAGACTACGGTCAAACACCGCTAAAGACAACATTTCAGTTGGCTTAGGCGACGGTGGCGCTGCTGAAATTGTTATTGGCGTTCCATCCATTTTAAATAGCATTGTCGCCAATAGAGCTGATCCGGCTCTCGTTTTTGCTTCTTATTCAGGCTTTGGGTTCCTCTTTAGGATCCTCTTCTACCAATTTCTCCTTTACTTTGTTTTAAGGAGGCCCAAGAGGAATGACGATGGATGTTATCCGATGGATGTCATCCATTCGGAAAAGAATCCTGGACATTGAACTTGAAGGTTCTGCTGAAGGCGGAGACCTTGGGTTGTGGTCCATCGTTTGTTGGTGTCATTCAAAGCAAGGAAAGTAAAAGCAAATAAAGAGAGGGCAATTGAAAAGGAAAGAAAGAAAAAAAGAAAACTCAAAGGAAGGAAAATAATACAAGGAAAGAAGTAAGAAAAGATGGGAGGAAAAGAGAAAAATAAATCAGGGCATAAAAAGTCAGGGCATAAAAATAAACTTTTGGCTTCTTGTTAAGTTAAACATAAAAATACGATGAAGCATATCCTCAAAAAAGCCGAAACAATTAATAATGGCAACAACGCCAACGAATATATATATATATATATATATATAT